CTCCTCTCTCCTCTCTCCTCTCTCCTCTTTCTTGACCTGAAACTCACTATGTAGCCCAGGCTGGTCTTGAACTCGCTTCAGCCTCCTGAGGGCTGCGATTACAGGCATGTGCCACCATGCCCACCCTTGTCCTCATTTTCTGATTTCAAATTCTGTAGTGCTGTGACACTTATGGAAAAAAGTCTATAAGTGATCATTTACCTAAGTTTCTGTGTTTGTTTCTTTTGTTTCTTTGGTACTTGGGATCAAACCCAGAGTCTTGTGCATGCTGAGCAGGCATTCTACCCCTAGCCCCAAATGTTACCAGGAATTAACATCAGAACCTACAGCTTTGCAAAAATACAGATAAGAGAATGTCTGTATCTGGAGATTTAAATGATTCTAGAAGCAAACATGTTAATTTAAATTCTATGACAGATGTCGCTCATGGCTGTAATCCCTGTATTTGGAAGACTGTGGCAGGAAGATTGCCATCATCTCAAGACCAGCTAGGACTACATAGCTCAAGGCTAAGTACAAAGTGAACACTGTCTAAATAAATGGGCTGGGGATGTACTCAAGGCAGAGGCTCTGGGTCCAATCCCTAGTACCAGAGGAATATTCTAGCATTCCGGAGGTTGAGGCTGGATGAGTCCATGTTCAAGGCCAGCCTGGGCAACACATCAAGACTCTGTCTCAAAAACAATGAAACAAAGTCTAATCACTACTTCCCCAGAAATTTGGCTTACTTACTGCAACCAGAGAACACATCTGTGTAAAGAAAATGGAGTTACTGGAAATTAAGGCAGTTGTGAAAATTAAAATGGTAAAGGCTTAAAAACATGGCACTGAGAAGGCTAAATTACTGCAAGATGAAAGATAACCCAGGGATTTAGCTTAGTGGCACTGTGGCTGCCTCACAAGCACAAGGTCCTGAGTTTGATCCCTAGTATAAAATAAAAGATGAAAGATAAAAATTGATACTACTAAAGTATTAAGCCAAAAGATCAAAACATGGAAAAAGGAATCCTGATGCCATCCAAGAATTAGGAAACCCAACATCTGTCTAATCGAAACTTCAAACTGGGTGTGGTGGTACCCTGCTGTAATCTCAGCACTTGGGAGGATGAGGTAGGAGGACCACTGCAAGTTCAAGGCCAGCCTGAACTATAAAGTTTGACTCTGTTTCTTTGAAGCACACTTAGAGAAGTGGGTTCTTAGTTGCTCAGGCTAGGCTCAAACTTACTATCCTGCCTCAGCCTTCCAGTGTTGGGATTACATACATGGGGCATTATGCCCAGTTTATTATAAATTTTCTGATCTCGTTTTCTTCTAATTTTATTTATAGATTAGTTTTTTCCTACAGACTGGAATCAAAGACCCCCTAAAGGTTAGAGGGGCATACATAGTACAGTGGTAGAGTAATTCCATAGCAGAGGAAAAGCCCATGGATTTGATCCCCTACACTACAAAAAATAAATAAAAATAAAGACAGGAGAGCCAGGCATTCTGACACACACCTGCAATCTCAGCACTCAGGAGTCTAAGGCAGGAGGACTGCCATCAGTTCCAGGCCAGCCCGGGGTACATAGTGAGTTCAAGGCCAGCCTAGCCTGCACTACATAGTGAGATCTTGTCTCAAAAACAACAACAACAACAAACCCCAAAACACCAACAATAACAACAACCAAAAGACAAGGAAAAAACTTCCTTTAAAATACACTTAGAAAAAAAGGTATTCTTAGATTTTTAACATCCCCCCAATTTAACCCCTCCGTACTGGGGACTGAACCTGGGGATTGCTGAGCTACACCTTCAGCATTATATATTGAAACAGGGTCTTGCTAAATGTCCTTGAAAGTTTAAACTAGCTTGATTTCTTTTTGTTTTTTGGTGTTTTGAGACAGGGTCTCACTGTGTAGTCCAGCTGTCCTTGAACTCAGGGCAATCCTCCTG